AGTGAAATAATTGCAGCATGAAAATAGCTGCAGAACTTCCCAAGCGTCTTCTTGTTGCCAAAGCCTTCAGAAAAATTGTGCATGGTAGCTCTGTCAGATGAAATGCATGTAGTTAATTTATCTTTTAACTCAGTGATTAGTTATGCCACCCCCACCCCCGAAAAAAAAATGTTATTAACGAGTATCGTTTCTTATCCTCCGTTTGTTTTCTAAAGTGACTATGTTATTAGCTGATGGGTTGTGGATGATATGCACATCGGATTGACTTTGTTTTAATATATGGAGGATGCATGCCTGCTTTAGCTTTGGTTGAGCTGCTTGTTCTTCAATAGCAGAAAGAACAGAGAATAAATGAATGATTTATATAAATAAACTATGTTACCATGTTCAATATCAAAGGTATGCATAATTGGCTATGTTTAGAATTAGATGAGCTCATTTTTACCACGAAGATAGGCACATTCATTCATTTGTTCTGTTGCGTTTATTGCCTTTATGTTTCTTATTTTTTGGTTACTGTTGGGTCATGGACAAAATATATGTGCATACGCTATCCGTGACACATACAAACTCCAATAACTTTGCTTTGAATCATAGAATAAGTTGCACCACATTTTTATAGATTATAGAAGGTGAAAATAATCCTATGTATTCTGTGCAAATTGATAGCCTGTTGCTTTAGTATGAAATTCTTGTTGCCAATTTCATATTGCTTTCTCATATGATAATTAGCATTTCTGTTGAGATGTTAACAAAGATTTGGCCCACTGTTAAGTTGTTCGAGACTGCCGAACCAGAATGTTGTTGAATTGACAACCCACCTGTTATTTTGCAGTGTATGCAGCCTGGAAGCTTCAAAATTAAAAGGATTTTGTTGATTCTACCTAACACATTGTAGGTAACAGAATGATCATTGTTAAATAACGTTTCGAGTGTATTGACTGGTTTAATTACTGGCTTCAAGAATCATTATCCTTATTTCTTTTAGATCAATCTGGTCATCTATTCGATCTTCAAAGTTTGAATGTTCATGATTTGTGGCCATTTAATAGTATTAATATTATCATAATGGTGGCTACTAATTACAGCCATGAATTTTTGAGCTAAACTTGGGAAATATTGTTTTGTTAATCATGCTAATTTACTTGCAATATTATTCTGAACTCAATTGCTTATTGTTGTTTTGTTCGATAAGTAGTTAGTCGTTAACTCGCCTATGGGGGTACATGTTCTTGATTAGTCTCCTTAGTTTTGGAAGTGGCTTCTATTTTTTGTTTCTTTGGTGCTTGATTTCTACATCTGGTGCTCTGCTTTTTGAGTAAATTTATTGAATTTTGATACAATTCACTATATGTTTCAAATATTTTATTGAAAGTGCTGGCATTTTTTCCGAAGTGTTACTATAGTTTGCAGCCACTTTATCTACACATTGTGTTCATTACCCTTTCATTTGTTTACTAGTTTTTACTTTATTGCCCGTTCATGGTACCCTTCCTTTCTTCAACAGTTTGCTTAATCCTCCATTATTCATTTCTGCAACTTCCGACACCGCTGAAACACTCGTGCAAACATTTATGTTCACGCCTCATGGCGTCCCAGTGGTTTTTCAATTGTGTTTTGTTCCAATTCCTGCCGACTGTCGTGTAGAACAAGTATATGAGTCTATCCCAAGTATGTTTGGTAAAACACTTACCTTCCTCATCGAGCAGGAGGAATGAAGGAGTGCCCTAAGATCTGGGATGGTTTGACAGTGCCATGTTTCAGTTGTGCCGGAAGTTGCAGAAATAAATAATGGAGTTGAAGAAAGGAAAGGTATTAGGAAGGGGCAATAAAGTAAAAACCAGTAAATCAATAAAGGGTAATAAAGATAATTTGTAGATAAAGTTACTACAAACTAACAGTAATACTTTGAAAAAAATGCCAGCACTTCTTCAATCAAATATTTGAAACATACAATGAATTGTATCAAAATCTGATAAATTTACTCAAAAGTAGCAGCACCAGACGGGCTGGTCAGGATCCTACTGGTGACTGTATACTAACCTTTAAAATCAGTTTGCTAATAATTCATATTCATGGTATTTTGCCTTAAAATACAAATTGAAGTTAGTTAACAAATGTTGTTGGGAAGTGCAAGCAAAGCCCCACTTTGATTAATATAATGGGAGTGGAATGTAGTCTTGGATTGAGCTACTCCATCGTATATCTTAACCTTTTAGGATGTAACTCCAATTTCCTACGAGTGATGTTATAGTTAAGCTCCAAATTTAGCCATATGGTTGTCCATCCAGCTGCTGCCGAATAAAAGTTGACCCATAATTGGATCGTGATAGGCGAGAAAATCCTTGGTTGGCTTTTAAGGGGATTGTGCTCATGTAAAGTGATAGCCTTGATGTAGTCGAATAGTTGGACCTTGATGCAGCACGTAATTTTTCCTGGTTTGAGGAGAGAGATGAATAGAATGCTCCTTTAAGTGGGGCTAAAAATACACGGTATTCTCTTTGAAGAGGGGATTCTTGAAAAAGTGTATAAAATCTCCCATTGTAGAAATTTTTCCTAAATTGGTGTCGTTTAACAATTTTGATTCTAAACTTGGTGACATGGCTGCAACGTCAATGTGGAAATAGCAGGTCCTTGAGAATATAATAACAATTATTCCCCATGTACATAAATTATTTTTACAGGGGTTCATCAGAATACTCACATGAGTGGGCCCATCATGTATTTAAAAAAATGTGCGCGAGGCCCACTCGTGAGAGTTATTTGTGGAAATTGCTTCTGTTCATGAAGCATGATTGATATAATAATGCTTGGTTCTTGGTGGTTGGGACCCTTTGGTTCATTTGTGACCCACACGGTTTGATGACTTTTTTCATTCCAAATGTTTTGTCACGAATCCGTGCAATGTACTTGAATCGTACTACATGGAAGACGAGTCTGGGATGTACGGGTACAAATATTGGATGATTACTTTTTATTGAAATTAATTTATATGTATCCTCGAAGCTTATATACACCCTCCCATTTTCTTTTATGAATGCAACTTTTACCAATTTACAAAGAAATAGATACCCATGATTGCTTTGGATTATTTGAAGAATATTGTAAAGCATGGCATTATGGCAAGAGGATGGGGTCCATAAACACAGGAAAAATTAACATATTTGGTACGCTAGATTGGACGAGACTCGTTTTCACATTTCTTTTTTTTTTGCACTAAAATTGATTGCATGAGTTGAAAGAATTAGATTTATCAGTACCACTCTATTTGAGTTCTAAAATATTAAACTTAATAAGTACATGAACATAATATTTACCTAAATAATTTATTAAAACCTTAGAATAAATTATCATTATTATTGTATTTATTAAACATTTCCATATGCATAAATAGTTTTTGGATGGGTTCATGATGTGATGCAAATGCAATACCTATTCTAGTCTTAGAAGAATAGGAAACATGGTTGCTAAGCCATTATTTTCAATGACAATATATGTCCACATAAATATGGGAGAAACATCCATTTTTTGAAAAAGAGGTGCCAACAACATTGGAATTTGAGCCTGGTGCTTCACTTTGAAACAATGGAGTTGGAGTCTTAGCAACTACAACTATTTTACTCGACAAATATACAAGTATCGATTGGATAAAGTGAACATTTGTAGATCTAATTCATTACGTAATTTCAAGTTTGTCGATAAAAGAACCTACACGATCACAAATAGATTTCATCAGTGGAATGTAGACTACGTTAAAGACTGTCTGCTTTAAAATCGTTCGCTTGAGTCGAATTCATGATTATAAGTTCTTGCAGGACTAAATACTCTTGGGTGATCGATAATGAAGTCGTATCACGAGGAAGGGGTGAAAAGAACCTAAAAAGATTGAATTGAGAACCTCTTGGTAGAGTTTAATACCCCGAATGGTCTCAAGATGAAAATCTATTATAATTTTATTTAAAATGCATGGATCTAAACCATTTCTGCGACGGGAACACTCAAATTTGGTCCCCCATATACCGCTGTCATCACTTTAAAAAGCTAAAAACTTTAATATGCGCCATTCAAGTGCTCCCCTTTGATATTTTCCTTTTTATCTGGTCCCTCTGGATATTTTTGTCTTTTCATCTGCACACCATTTTATTGTTCATCATTGGAACCTTGAGAAAATGAACTCTAGGTAGATTACAATATTAATTGAGGGAAATAATGTAATATATTTTTTTATTAATGTGCTATTCAATCATGTACAAAATAATACACAATAAATGTCCATTCAAGGTTTTAGAGATCGTTTGACGAGATTTATGTTTAATAATTTCTAAAGGAAGTCGCACTTTCTTTAAAAACTCTTTTAATTAGAAGAAAACACTTTTAGAAATTCATTCAAACATTTCAAAAGAAATTCTTAATTTCAAAGTAGCTTTTGACTTTTAAAAGTGTTCCTAAAGTTAGGTGGAAGGCAAAGAAGACCTCCTTCAAAGGAACTCGAGCCATCAATGAGATACCTATCTGAAAAAGTTATAATTCTAACCTTATATAGAAATATTGGGAATTATGCTAAAGTGCCCGAAAATGGATGTTCGAAGGGGTAATCGACCCTCACATTGCGCTTGGGTCCCGAGTGAATAAAATAATACCCGATCCTCGAGGTGTGTGTATTCGATCATCCAAAATGTCAACCGAGATGTTCGTGTAGCACGGTTGTTATACTGGAATCCACGGGCGAAATGCTAATGTATAAATTTGAATGGTCAACCAAAATTAAATAAAATACAAGTAATGAAAAGTCTAGAACAGCGTGTGAATCATAGAAGCTCCATTTGAAATTCTTTGACTTGGCTGCTCTGGGGCTCTGCAGCCCCGCCAGCCATCCAGCTATACAAATAAGACTGTCCCTTTTAACTTCAATTTCAATTTACATCCTGATGCCACCCACCCCCAAAGCCAAAATAAATTCCACTCTTTCTCTCTCTCGATTCCAATTCTAAATCCTCCACATGAAGCCTAAACAAGCATTCCACATTTTCTTGTTTCTTTCTTTCTACATTTTCTTATCTCTAGCAAAAGAAAATGTTAGAACTGCAATTCCACAACAATTTGGAGAAGCCCCCAAATTCTACAATGCCCCCGAGTGCCCTTCAATTATCCACGCGACGAACAATCTCTTCGATGATGATTCCAACTACAACAACAACAATAATTACATATGCTCGGACGAGGCTATCCATGTGGCAATGACCCTCGATGTTACATACATCCGAGGATCAATGGCGGCAATCTTGTCCACTCTCCAACACACATCATGTCCACAAAACGTCTTCTTCCACTTCGTCGCCTCAGCCTCGGCCAACGCCCCCCTCCGCACCACCATCGCCTCCTCGTTCCCGTACTTGAAGTTCCAAATCTATCGCTTCCACGACACTACCGTGGCAGGCCTAATCTCCACTTCAATCCGCTCCGCCCTCGACTGCCCTCTCAACTACGCTCGCAGCTACTTGGCAAATCTTTTGCCACTCTGTGTGGGGAAAGTTGTGTATTTGGATTCAGATTTAGTACTAGTCGATGACATTGCTAAATTAGCAGCCACCCCACTTGGTGATAACAAAGTTTTAGCCGCACCCGAATATTGCAATGCCAACTTCACCTCCTATTTTACTCCCACTTTCTGGTCAAACCCTTCTCTTTCTTTAACCTTCGCAAATCGGAAGGCTTGTTATTTCAACACTGGAGTAATGGTGATCGATCTTGACCGATGGCGGGCCGGAGACTACACGACAAAGATTGAGGAATGGATGGAGCTGCAAAAGAGAATGAGGATATATAATTTGGGATCATTGCCGCCTTTTTTGCTGGTTTTTGCCGGAAATATAGCTCCCGTGGATCACAGATGGAATCAACATGGTCTTGGAGGGGATAATTTTCGAGGGCTTTGCCGGGATTTACATCCAGGGCCAGTGAGTCTCTTGCATTGGAGTGGTAAAGGTAAGCCATGGGCTAGGCTTGATGCGAACCGGCCATGTCCACTAGATGCACTCTGGGCACCTTATGATCTGTTAAAACCTCCATTTTCATTCGATTCTTGAAGGTGATCAAGAGAAAAAAGGTGGCTCGGACAATTTTTATTTTTTTCCCCCCTTTTTCTTGTAGTTCAGATCAAACTGGAAGCCTGCTGGTTAAAAAATTGAAGAACAAGGGATTAAAAGTGAAAATAAAGTCACTGCAAGTGTATAGATACAGATGAGTGTATCTAGCAAGATAGATGCAATCACCATCATGGCTTTGCTTGATGAAATATATACAGTCTATAAATTTTTCTCCCTGTAAATTTCTAGTGCCTCTCCAGATCGGAGGGATCTTCAAGGTTCATAATTTTGTTTGTAATAAGGATTTAATCCAAAATTTTAATGAATGATCTCTTTATTGTATAGACACTAAAAATTTTGGTGGGTTTATTCAATGGTTGTAAGTTTATTTTTATTTACTATTCACTTTCTTGGATTTTATTTTATTTTTTTTTACAGATTAATGGTTTTATCAAGTGAAATTCAAAAAAAATATTCTTTTAAGGGAAAGTGATGAAGCCAGCTGATTTGCAGTAAAGTACAGTGTGTACATATGGACTTACGTAAAAGACAAATAACGAGGATGCTATATCACTATTACGAGATTATGAAGTTAAGAAAATAGAAATAATAAAAAAAAAATATCTCGTTATTCCGGAGCCACCAAATGTCGCGTTGTATATCTGTCTGTGTAAACTTTTTAAAATGAATTATTTCGATGTAGACAGTTAAGTTTCTGTTTGAGCCACATTAAAATTTTTATTATCATTATTATATTCAATTTAAATCACACATTTTTCAATAAAATAATATTTTCCATCACATTAATAATTTTTTCTTACATAATAATAATTATTTTTTTCCACTTAATCTTGAAATTGTACAAAAATTGCTTTTTCCAACAATAATTTACTACTAATTGTTGATGATTAAATAAAAATAGTGGGTAGGAAAGTTTATAGCAAAAATTGTTTTTTCCAATAGCATTAAATAATATTTTTTAATTCGTGTGAAAAATAAAATTAGCCTACATAAATGGGACAGAATGAGTATATATTAGTTTGTAGCGATTATTTTGTGTCATTTTACTTTTCTTCACTTCTTTATTGTCTTTGCTCCGACATTGACGTTCTAATATTTTTTTAATTGGAAATTGACATAATTAAATTATGTTTTAATGATATTCTGTCTTGTTATCAACAAATATGAGATACTTTTATTTAAATTATTATGTAATGTAAGTGTATATTAGAAAAAATGTAAGAAAAATTTATATTATCGTCTATATTAATTATTTTTATTTAATCAATGTAAAAATGAACAAACTTATCTTTATGGAAGGGGGAAGTATCGTTTTCTTTGATTGAAAGGATAATAATTGTGTATATATCATCGATCAACTTGTACATATAAAATTGAGGAAAATCTTGGTTTTTAGTGAACCTAACTAAAACTGTTCTTTAATGAAACCAAAATTATATACGAAATCTTTTCAGTAAATTCTAAAATAATAAAAAAAAAAACAAGAAAAAAAACTACAGAAACAGTATTAGGCATATCTGTCGGTAGCTTGAAGAAACAACTAAGAAGATAAAAATAGAACTTCAACAGTCAACATCCACATTAATAACGAGGGGTTTATTTTCAAAGGATGAAGAAAAAATGGTTGGGTGGGGGGCTAGGTGAGACATCCTCTTCAAAATTCAGGATTATGAGAGATACATATTAAGGCATTGTTTGGTCCATATTATTATTATTTTTTAAATATTTTTACACTGCATAAAGTTTTCAACTTTTAGGTCAACTGCATTGAAATGCC